TGTTCCCAAATGTCTGCTCCCCCTGTTAGAAGAAAAAGGAACAGACAGGTCATTAGAAAGAGGACTTTGTCTCCCACTTTCCTTTTATTTGGATCTGATTCTCCAATCCCAGACCATCTCCTAGAGGCCAACGCATCCCTCAGGCCAGAGCAACCACCTGTAGGCCTTGCTCCCACCCCTAACCTCCCCTATACACTGACTCCTGTGAAGAACATGTCACCCCAATACCCTGAAAACAGATCTCTCAAAAATGTTTTGCCTCCACCCACTGAGTGGAGAAGATGGTAGAGTTCAACTGTGGGGAGCCAAGAGGACTCAGGTGAAGGGCCACTCACCATGCCTGGAGAGGGAGCCAGCTGCCCCTTCCTCTCCAGCATGCTTAGCTTTGAGCCCACCGCATCAACCTGGGCCAGGACTCCTTCCAGGACAGACTCCAGCTGTAGAACTCTCCTTGTGAGCCTGTTCAGGATTTGAGAGAGACCAAGGAAGTAGAAATATGTGCTTGGGGGATTGAGTGTCTGCAGGGGAAGGAGAACAGAATGGTGTGTGTCTAGCTGGAAGAAAAGAAGGTAAGACCCAGCCTTTAGGGAGAATTAAATGGGGGAAGAAGTTCTTCCTAGGCTAGGACAGAGGATTAGAAGGTTGTGAAAGAAGTTCAAGGTAGGATATTTAAACACAGTCAGCCCTCAGTCCCTGGCTGCACGTACGTGTAGAATTCTTCTCCTGAAACCCAGTCACCTGCTCCGGTAGCCTCTGGACCCAATTTGCCTGGTGAACTCCTCACAATGGACCAGCCCAGGTTCTCAATTTCAGCATTGAGGGCCACCTGATCAGGAAGTCAGAGGTCAGAGAGGAGAAGATGACTCTGGGAAGCCATCAGCTCTGGTTCTAATTCGCTCTCAGGAACAGGCCTTGGGCTATAGTTCTTGCTATGCCCCTTCCCTCTCAAACTCTGGAGACAATGGAATCAGAGTAGTGGCACTGGACACAAAGCTGGCCCAACCTCTGGAAAGGAGTCACAACCCAAAGAAACAAAACACAAGCTCCTTGAGGCCTTGATTAATGAGGTGTTCACTAGAGGCCAACTCAGTTTGGGAGAGGAGGGACAATACCAGAATTCCTCGTACTGCCCTTGACTTTTTGGTCTACACTAGAAAGGGATGAAGCAGGAATACCACTGACAGCTAAGGATAAGAGTTTGAAAAATCTCAAAAGAAGGAATCATCAGGGATTCTTGAGCAATTGGACCTTTCCCCCTACAGACTATTTTAGAGCAATAGTTCTCAACCTTGGCTATGCATTGGAATCACCAGGGAAGTTTTAAAAAGTACTGATTTCTGGGGTCCCCAACTTTCACACACACACAGTGATTCTGGTCTAGGGTGTGGCCTAAGTATAAAGATTTTTTTTTAAATCCTCACCCAAAGTGTTTTTTATTGATTTTAGAGAGAGAGGAAGTGGGGGGAGAAAAATATCAATGAGAGATAAATATTGATGGGCTGCCTACTATATGCACCCCGACCAGATGATTGATTTTAGAGAGAGAGGAAGGGGGAGGGAGAGAAATATCAATGAGAGATAAATATCGATGGGCTGCCTACTATATGCACCCTGACCAGATATCAAACCCATAACCTTTTGGTGCATGGGATGATGCTCCAATCAACTAAACCACCTGGCCAGGGATGAGTATGAGGACTTTTAAAGGCTCCCATGCATTCTAATATGCAGCAATTTGAGAACTACTATTCTAGAGAGCTCTTTCCTGCTCATCTATTGGAAGGTTTTCAGTTTGGGTTTGTGTTCTGGGCAAGTTGACAGGGAGGGGAGGGTGAGCAATTTCCTTATACTACCTCTCCACCAAGCAGCTGCGCTCACCCTCTCCTCCTCCAGGTCCTGTTGCATTTGTTTTTGCTCCTTCTCATCCAGGACATGATTCCCGTCTTGGTCGAACTTGGTGAAGGTAGCCGCGAGCTCAGTGATCTCGTGCTCTTTGTGCCCCAGTCTGAGGAGAACAGGATGATGAAATAACTTCTGACAAGCTGTGGCTGTGATCTCTTGATTATGGACTCCCTACTCTTTTAGCCAGACTCTGGCAAGAGTCTTATTCTCTAGGGAAGAAAGGGACCACCTCATAGGAAAGCCAGGATCTCCAAGGTCTAGCAATTTTACCCCCAAGAAATCACTTGAGTCTATTTCTTTCATTCTTGTCTCCTGGTTCGGGCCCTTGTGATCTCCTACAATGCAAAATCTCTTTGCCGTAAATAACCTGCCCTCCATTTCCTCAGCCTCCCCTTTACTCCCTACTTGAAATCCATTCTCTATAATGCAACCAGGGTAATTGATCTTTCTAAAGTATGGGTCTAAATGTACCCCTTCCCTGCTTAAAATGCCTCTTGAGCATCCTATCCTTTGGATAGAGTAGTAATGTTTGAGGCTTTTCCCAATGTGGTCCTTACCCATTTCTATGGCCTCATCTCCTGCTATGTCCCACCTTTCACTGGATACCTTAGCAATGAGCAACTACTTATCATTCAGTGTCTGGCCTACAGCTGGTACTTACAATATATTTCTTTAGTGTTTGTTAATATGTTTAACTGGGAAGCTGGGCGGGAATAGCTAAGGAAATAAACCAGTGTTTGGGGAGGAGCATGGAACCAAGATCAGAGTTTTGTGGGAGTGAGGGATGTATACAATGATCATGGAATTATATTACATTACTCCCAAGAGTTGGTTCAACAAAGTCCAGAACATTATAGAACATGGTCATAGACCTTTAAACCAAGGGCACAATTCTGAAGGACAGGGTCAGAGACGTATAGGCCAAGGTCAAAAGCCTATTAGCCAAGGGCAGAGACCCATAGGCCAAGATCAGAGGCTTATAGGCAAAGGATGTATGGTTGAGGGTCAAGGATTTATAAACCAATATCAGAGAAAGCTGGATCTCTGATTGCTCACTCCCTCAAGGTGTTCGTGAAATCCTCAAACTGGATCTCCTGCTCCCCACCCTGCAGGACCTTCTGCACATCCGAAACCTGTTTCTTCCTGAGACGCAGCCTCAGTAGGGTCTTGTTGTAGCCCTGGAAAGGGAAACAGGCACCAGTTCCCACAGCCTCCTCCTCATCCCTTCCCCTCACCCCCATCCACAGGATTCCAGGCTTCTGGGGACAGATTGAAAGGACACAAGAGCACAGGCCCCTACATTAGTCAGGAACAGACCAGGACACAGAGCCTTGGACATGGGCCCTGATATAGGTATGCAGCTCAAGGAGACTGAGTAGGTACCTGTTTCAGGAAGTCGGAAATCTGTAGCTCATCCTTCTGTCCAGCCAACTCCTCCTTGACCTCTGAATATGTGTCATTGATGATGGCAAGAAACATGTTCTGGAGGGTAAGGCAGGGATGTGGGTCCTCATGCCCAGACCCACTAACAGCATGGAGCCCACTGGCCCTACTAATGTTCTAGACATGTTCTAAAGGGGCCATGCTTTCAACCCCAGATCTGCAGCCCACTAATCCCTGAATCTCAAGGTTAGAGCCCAGCCTTTCAGCACAGTCCTGTTAGTGATGGATCATGGAGTGGTGACCTCACTCCATTGCTACAGTAACCTGACCAGAAAGATACCCCAACATATGCCACAGTCCCTCCATGTAAGGGCCCACCAAGCACTGAAGCCAGAAACTTTCCAAGGTGTTAATATAATTGTGATCTCTTTATCATCAGTCCATGTCTGTATCCCTATCTATTGATCAAATAAAGAAACTTGCTACTTTGTTAATAAAAATCAAACCCAGATATTTCATGGTTGTCAGGAAGAAAGAACAAATACACAACAGTGGGTGTAAAAATAGCTAGTGATCCCCACAGGAAGGGGGGGTTTGGAGAATAAGTGTGGAAGCTTTTAGGTGAAGCCACTTCTAATGAGGCATTTTTCTCTCTCTTTCCATCCTTGGAGAATACAGGTTTGATGTTAGTGAGGTAGCCTGCAGATGCCCTTATATTGTGCAAACTACCTGACCATGCTGACCACACTGACCAATCATATTATCCAGCTCTCAGAAGATCCAGCCTACCCCCACAACACACTCCCCATCTTTGATTTTAAAAACCCATTGTAATCCTGAATGCAGAACAGGGTGGGGGGTGTCAAAACCCCACCTTGCAGGCCTTCTACATCTCCCCCCTCAGGTCCCAAATCCCCACCCTGTTCTCAGAAGGACCCTCACCAGAAGCACGAAGAAGACGAAAAAGACATAGGTGACAAAGTAGGCAGGTCCCAGGATGCGGTTGGCATTGTCGATAGCATTGTAGTCAAAGTCCCCAAGGATGATCCGGAACTGAGTGAAACTGAGAGAGAGACCAGGTTCTGGGTTTTACCCAGAGCCTAACCATAACCCTGATCCCATCCCATACCCCATCCACTTTCCTAATGCTCTTTAGTGGACTCAGACCCCTCACTGCACCTCCAACCCAATCCGATAGAGACAGGACAGGATGCACAGATACTTGAGCGCACGCATCTGGGCCTCCAGAGACCCTCACACAGATGCTTTAAGCACAGACATGCCCACGTGAATATACCCAGCTTCCCCAAGGCTACATACACCCATGGAGTTAGAGGATGAGGGGCCAGGGAAGAGTGAAGGGGACAGGGCACACACATGCACTTGATGAAAGTACTAAAGTTTTCCACTTGGGTCCCGAAAAGCAGGTAGCCGAGCTGGGCATAGGCGAAAAATACGATGAAGAACATGACAGCGAAGCCCAGGATGTCTTTGGCACAGCGGGCCAGCGTGGAGGAGAGCTGGGTCATGGTTTTGTTGAAGCTGATGTACTTGAATATCTGAAAGGACCATGTTGAACCAAGCAATTAAAGAAAGAAAATCTTTAAACAATCCACTTCAGGAGACTATGGAGGTCACAGGAGTTGCCAAAACAGGCAAGGAAAATGAGACAAGTATTGAGGAAGGGAGAATGAGTGCACTGAGGTGAAACTGGGAGTAAGGAGTCCCAGGGTACCTTGATCCAGGCAAAGAAGAGGTTGACGGCATTCATGTTGTTGTACTGTGTCTGCCAGAAGGCGAGGAACTCGAAGTCGGCGTATGTATTTGGCTGCTGCAGGAGCTTCCCCATCAGCCTGTTCACCTCAAGAGTTCGGAATATGTGAAAGCCCACAGCTACAATGGAGAGCTGTCATCACAGGGGTTGAGGGGTCAGAAAAGTCAAGGAGATCTCAAGGGAAGGTCAGCGATGAAGTCATAGGGGTAACACAGGTGGGAAACAAAACATGCTTCATTGCTGAGTTCTTGACTATCCCAGGTTCAAATGGAACTGGATAGGATTATTCGGGAGCGTCTTCAAGCCCAAGAGAAGGTTCTGGGGCCAATGGTAAATACCTAGGTTGTAAAGGACCATAGAGATCTGGAGCCAAGTAAGTTTATTTCCCCCACCACTTCCCAGCCTTGGTCAGGAAATTAATGTGTCCTATTAATAGGAATTAGACAAAGATGAAGAGGCAGGATATTTTAATATGAGAGAAAAGGCAGGAGTTTCAAAGGGATCATAAAGGCAAGAGACGAGGAACAGAGTGTCAAGAACATAAAGAAAAGAGCAGGGTCTGGACCAAAGACTTGAGGGAGAAGGGATGTGGGAGACAAGGCTTTCCGAGGGCTGAGTCAGCGGAACATCAGCCTCTTGCTCAGAGAGCTGTTACAGAGGGATTTGACCAGAAGTCATAAGGAGGACTTGGGACTCTAAAAGGAATAACTCGGAGCCCCTATCAGGGTTGATCCCCCATCTCCTCCCGATATGTCCCAAGTCCAAGATATCTCTTCCTCACCAAAATGACCACCAGGTCCAGAATGTTCCAGATGCTGCTGAGGTAGCGAAGTCGGTGGACGTGGAGCTCCAGGATCTCCTCCACCACATAGTAGAAGATGAAGATGCAGAAGATGATCTCACAGCCAATGATAAAGAAGTCCCAGTTGCTGACATAGCGAATCAGCTTAACTGTGCGGATTTGCCAGGATGGGATGGCACCTCCTGTAGCCGGAAACTCCACCACCAGTCTGTGGGAGGAGAGATGTCTGGTGGGGCCTGGGCTGGGACAGTTACTCCCATTCCCTTCTCTCCCTATCCCCAGCACAGGTTACATGCTTAGGGAAGGGCCTCGAGCAGAGAAGAGAACCAGGAATCATGGATGGAGGGATGCAGTAGGGAAAGGGGACCCACCTCAGAACACAGAAAAGATTGATGTTGGCGTTGTAGACTGAGAAGTCGATGAAGACCACCCGAGTGCCCCTGTCTAGCCACAGGCTCTCCTGAAGGTCCCGGAGTGCCTCTGCACTGCCCTGCCGGGATCCCGGAAGGTCCAGGTAGTAGCCACCTCCACTGTAGCTTGTGAGCTGGCCCCAGTGAGAGGAGCCCCCCAACTCATCCTGTGAGTGGTATGTCCACCTGCCGAGGAAGAAGCCATCTAAGCAGATGTCTGAGTCAACCTAAAGCTGATCTCCCAAGGCAACGGCAATACTTTATGATTATCTGGGCTTTACAGTTTCATACATATTATATATACATATCACATATATAAGGTCTCCCCCAAAATGTACACACACTTTGAATAAGTAATTCCAATGTTTCTTTCTTTTCTGATTTAACCCATTGAAATGAATAATTATACATTTTTGGGACACCCTGAATGTATATTTCACATATATTATCTTGTTTGGTGTTTAGCATCTGTTTTAGAACTGACGATAAACATTATCCACATTTTGCAAATGAGGAAACCAAGACTCAGAGGTGTCTGAGATGATCCAGCTAGTTAGTGGCCAAACTGAAACTCAAATGTAAATCTCCTAATTTTTCATGATGTCACCCAAGACTAGGGATCACATACCCAAGCCCCACTTTTGACCCCACCCTAAGTAGACCCCTTACAGGAAGCACCAGGCCCATATAATACAGAAGAGTCTCTTTCTGTTCTTGTGGTCATGTACATAGCTGGGTAACCTCATGACTGTTCTGATTACAAACTTTCTACCCTGGACCCCTTTCTTTCCTGTCCTAGCCATACTTTCTCCCTTTTTCCCCTAATTTGTCATCGATACTTGATTCCTTGCTGCTCTCCCTATCAGTTCCAAGGGTCAGACTGCCAACCCTGAAGCATCGATACTGACTCATATGACAGTATCGATGCTTCGTCAATTCTCCATATTCTCAAGTGACTTCTGGGCAAGAAAAAAAAAATGCTGTCTCTGGCAGGAATGCCTCCAGAGTAAGGCAAATGTGACTGTGACCTGTATGTGGAAACAAGTCCTGAGGCTATGGTTCAGTCTGCTAATGTACCTTCTCTGTTCCTGAATGACTCAGACCAAAGTCTCCAAACAGCCAAAGTTGGGACTCAGAGAAATCCCCCTCCCCATTTCTCTGAGTACCCCAAGGCTCTACCTCTACTTTTCCCTATGACTCTGTGGAAGTGGTTTCCAAACCTTGGAATGGTGTCAGGCCCAGAGGGGCAAGCCCTATAATATTGGTGTGGGAACTCACGCTGTGCCATTGAGGGGCCCAAAGGGGAGCTGCTCTTCTTTGTCTGGAGAGTAGACGTCATAGCAGCTCACAATGTCCTCTCGGAAGTCCTCATGTACCACACAGGAGTCATTGCGGACCCTCAGCTGCCGCAGCCTTGGAACCCCCAGCAGCAAGTTCTCATAATAGATGAAGGAGTGGGAGCCATGGCCCAGGCTCTGGTTGTTGTACCATTTGGTCCAATACAAACTGTCCAGTAGTGGGCCCTGGGCAAACTAGACCACAAGCAGGGTTGAGCCTGACCCAGCCTCATCCTGACCTCTACCCTTAGAATGACCTTTGCCCTCAGTCCCTATTCCCCCACCTTGTCTCCAGTCTGCTTCTGTTGGACTCCTCAGCTGACCCATGAACCTTAATCAGATCTTGACCTAATGTGGCCTTACTCTTTATTTAGTATGTATTTAGAAGTTCAGTCTTACCTCTGACTTCCAATACTAGTCTAATTACTGGCTTGATGCCCTGATCATTATCCTGATCTCTCACCTACCTCTACCTTAACTCTAATCTGACCCATTAATCCTTTCATGACTCTTTGATTCAGCCTGATACTAGCCTCTGGATATGGTCTCATCCATTGTCTGACATACCTGAACTCTGGCCTGTATGTGGCCTCATCCTTCAGGCCATTGAGAAGGAGAGGGAGGGGTAGAGGTTATGTCATACTTACATCCCAGAAGTCTGCCATGCTGCTGATGGCCTGGAAGGAGACTCTGGTGTCTGATGGGGTGTGTAAGAAGAGCTCAGACATGACTTTGGTGTAGTAATAGGCACTGGAGCTTGTCATTCCATAGGTCACTAGAAACCGAACCAAAAGGCATCCTTCTCACTGTTCCCATCTCCATTCTCCAGAAACAAGAACAACAAAAAAACACACACAGGAAAACCCATTGCCCTTGGGCCAGCAATGCTACCTAGATGGAAGTCTATCGGACCCACCCCCTAGAGTTGACTGGGGAGGCTGATGGTGGCACTGGGGAAACCAGGGGCTGCATTATGGAAGAGTTGTGGCTACAAAGTCTCCTCCTTCCTTCCTAACTCACCTCAGAGAGACTGAACTCCACTCAGTAATTGTCTCTTGACATTGCCATTCTGAAAATTCACTTTTCTCTTCCTGAACCAGCTTAACTTCCTAGTTCTCACTCCCTGGAGCCAAGAAAACTTCATCTTCTGCGTCAGATAGTGCTTCATTTTATTTGCCTTATATTTATGTCCTTGGGAAAGTGCCTGCAAATTCTAGAGGACTCCAAGGCCTTGGCCAAACACCTTACAATGGAGATGTGGTCTCCTGGACCCTGGAGTCAGTTTGCAGCCATGGGGGTCAGAGGTAAGCATGGCACCTCTGGCCCCATTGCATCCTGATGGGCACAGTTGTCTCCTGAGAGAGGAACTCAGAGCATCTCCAGATTTAAAAAAAAAAAAAAAAAAAAAAAAGGACCTGACCTTTGCCCTGAAGAACTGGATCTCCACCAACCACCCTAAGACAGACACCCAGTCTGAAGTAGGGCTGTCAAGGGAAAGTATAAGTTTTCTGGTTAAAAGGCAGAATTTGAAGAGCATAGCCATTTATTTTACAGATTGACCCTTAATGGATTCTTTTTTCCTGTAGTTTGTAATTTGCTAATATTATGATTTATGTTGCTAAATAATATTTTATTTTATTTTTTTAAAATATATTTTATTGATTTTTTACAGAGAGGAAGGGAGAGGGATAGATCGTTAGAAACATTGATGAGAGAGAAACATCGATTCAGCTGCCTCCTGCACACTCCCCACTGGGGATGTGCCTGCAACCAAGGTACATGCCCTTGACCGGAATCAAACCTGGGACCCTTCAGTCCCCAGGCTGATGCTCTATCCACTGAGCCAAACCGGTTAGGGCTGTTGCTAAATATTTTAGCTAGGTCATGAAAGAGAAAGATTAAAGAATAGTTGTAGATTAAAAGAAGGTAAAGAAACATGACAACTAAATGCAATGTGTGCGTTTAGTTAGGATTATATACTGGACCATATTTTTTTCTTTTGCTATAAAAGCTATTAGTGGAATAATTGGTGAAAGTATAATAAGGTCTGTTCATTAGATGATAGTATTGAATCATGGATAATTTTCTGACTTTGATAAAAGAATGTCCTTGTTTTCAGAAAATATACATTAAAGTATAGGAGTAATGGGACATTTTTGTCTGCAATTGACTCTCAAACAGTTGTATGTGTATGTAGCTAGATATATAGAGCGAATGATAAAGGGAAAGCAAGCATGGTAACATGTTCATATTTGAGAAATCTGGGTGGATGGAGCTCAGAATACTTTGTATTACTCTTACGACTTTTCTGTAAGTCTGTAATTACATAAAAATGTTTAAATAGGATTTACTGGCCTCTAATGAGCAATTCCCTTTTTAAGAATTTTCCTTTGCAAATCTTGGGTTACATTTTCTCCTACCACCCCATCTGGAAAGGGCATGACTGGGGTCGACTGGAGCTTGTTCATAATCTTGGAGGGAAAAGGGGCCAATATGGCCTCAGATTAGACACAAGCAACATCATACTTTTCCAAGGGGGACATCAGCAAAGAAGGAAGCTTGTTACTTCACATTTCCCCATTTCATTCAATGAAGTCCAATAAATGACTTTACTTCTCTTTAACCTATATCTGTGATTACCTATCCTAAGTATCTGAAGACTCGGACTCAATTTTCTGGATCTGGAAAATGGGCTGGAAAACAAATTTCTGCCTCCTGAGAGCCCATTCCATTACACAGTTAGAGCTGATGGTCAGTGAGCTGAACTTTTCCTAATGACAATAGGCTGATTAAATTGTTGCGCCTTCAGAATGGCCACTAGGTGGTACTCGTTGCCATAGCCTTTTCTCTAATTCTCCAAATCTGTTACTGCTCAGAATTAACATTGCTCTGAACTAGTTGTCAACTCTTTTTTTTTTTTTAATATATTTGTATTGATATCAGAGAGGAAGGGAGAGGGAGAGAGAGATAGAAACATCACTGATGAGAGAGAACTGTTGATTAGCTGTTTCCTGCAACCCCTGCATGTGCCCTGATTGGGAATCAAACCATGACCTTCTGGTTCATAGGTCAATGCTCAACCACTGAGGCACTCTGGCTGGGCTAAATCCCTATTATTAAGGTTGAGCTGGCTCAGATCACTTCACCCTCATATGAAAAGAACTTTGTAACTCTCTGTGTCTGGATGGGCATGGTAACTGAATATGCTAGGAAAGGTGTGAAATCATCCTCCTATGGCCATTCCTAATCTTTGGCGACCACTTCCAGAGGGGTAGCCTTTCTGATCCTTCATAAGCGTTATTCTGATGCTTTCAAACAGATCTCAGTTTTCTAGAGGGTTAAATTTTACTTTTCAATATTTTTAAAATGTATGCCTTGATGTGAAATGACAACTGATATTTATTGAAAGCTCACTTATGCTAGGCACTATACAAAGCACCTTATTTGTTTTTCACCAATCTCACATTATTCTCATTTGATATATAAGGAAATCAAAGCTTCCAGAGATTTAAGTATCTTGACCTATCTTGCCAAAGGACATGGCTAATACCAAGTTAACAGGTTGTACTATCAGATAAACCAAGGCATCTTATTCCAGATTCCATGCTCTCTCCATTACCATTGTGCCTTCACTAATGTCATAGCTCTATGTGACCAATTATTTTCTGCCATCATTATGTAGCTGTACCACATAAGAAATAGAAGCTCACCTACAATTTCCTGAACCTCCAATATACTTCTGTTCCTTCCCTTGTCAATTCTAAGAATGCTCAGTCAAGAAAGATAACTTCAAAAAAAAAAAAGAGCTTTTATGAAGGTTCTGCAAAAAATTAAAAATAAAACCACTATATCATATGAGCTAGCAATTCCACTTCTGGGTAGTTATCCAAAGAAAATGAAATCACTGTCTTGAAAAGATATCTGCACCCCTATGTTCACTGCAGCATTATTTACAATAGCCAAAGCATGGAAACAACTTGTATATTCATCAACAGATAAATGGATACAGAAAATGTGCTGTATATAAATACAATGGAATATTATTCAGCCATCAGAAAAGGAAATCCTACCATTTTCAACAACATGGATGGACCTTGAGGGCATTATGTTAAGTAAAGTAAGTCAGACAGAGAAAGACAAATACTGTATGATTTTACTTACATGTGGAATCTTAAAAAAAAAAACAACCCACCCCAAAACACCAAACTCATAGATGCAGAGAACAGATTGATGGTTGTCAGAGGCAGGAGGTGAGGGGGGTGGGTGAAATAGTGAAGGTGGTCAAAAGGTACAAACTTCCAGTTATAAGATAAAAAAGTCCAGGGGATGTAATGTACAGCATGGGGACTACAGTTAATAATCCTGTATTACATATTTGAAAGTTGCTAGGAGAGTAAATCTTAAAAGTTCTCATGACAACAAAAGTTTAACTATGCATGTTGATGGATGTTAATTTATTGTGCTAATTATTTTGCAATACATACATATATCAAACTAGATTGCACACCTAAAATTAATACAATATTAGATGTCAATTATATCTCAATAAAAAAAGAAAGACATCTTCTTCCCGATCTCCAAGCTTAGTTCAACCTCTTTTGTTAATGCAAGATTCCACCAATCGATGGACAGAACCTTAAAATCCACTAAAAGAAAGTAGAGTGAGCCTGGCCAGTGTAGCTCAGTGGTTGAGTGTCGACTTATGAACCAGGAGGTCACAGTTCAATTTCTGTTTGGGGCACATGCCTGGATTGCGGCTCGATACCCAGTGTGAGGTGTGCAGGAAACAGCGATCAATGATCAATGATTCTCTCTCATCACTGATATTTCTCTCTATCCCTCTCTTTTCCTCTCTGAAATCAATAACAATATATTTTTTAAAAAAGAAAGTAGAGTGATACTAGGCAGGCATTTGCTTTTAACCAGTGATGGATACAGAGCATCCAATTGAGGTTAATTGGCATGTAGTCACAAGTCACAAAGGCCAAGGGTCTCTGCCCTCCTCCCCAACCCCATGGTGATCAGACCCAGCCTTGTCCTGGCTCAGAGCCACTCCTATACAGGGCCAGTCCCAGGTGCACCTTTGAGATAACAATACTGTCTCCTAAAACAAACAGCTATTGTTTCCACACAAAGACCTTCAATGTTTCCTCCATCAACAAAAGGCTACAGCCATCCTGCCAAGAAGGCAAAGGACTGGAAGCTGTTTCATAAATGTCCTGATGGTGAGAGGGGAGGGGTGGAGGCAGAAAGATCATTCTCCAGCACTTTCCCTGCCTAGGAATAGGACCAACTCCACCTGTCAGGGGCCATTCTGAATTATTGATCATTCCTCAACGATTTATAATGACAGTAATAACAGCTTCCTAATCTGTGGAACAGAAATAATCATATCTATTTCTTACAGGACTGTTGTCAGGATCGAATGAGGTAAGAGTTGTGAAAGCTCTTTGTAAGGTTTAAAGGGTTGCATACTGATAAGGTTATTCTGAGAAGATTGATGGTTCACCCACATTGCCTGCATTAAAAAGATAGCTCCACTTTAGCCAGATGAGATACCAAATAGCCCTGGTGTCTAGTTCCACCCAGTTCCTAGAATAAAGCATAAGGGAGGAGAAATGTGGTCGGTATGGCTGGCCATTATAATTTTCGAGGGCCCATCCCAGGCCAAAGTGCTGTGCAGGTGATGTCTAACTTCCTTGGCTGTTTTCAGCCCCAGGGACCCAGATCCTGGAAAGAAGCCCCCTGGTGGTTGGTCCCACACCTATGGTCTAA